GACTTCGCGCTCGCCATACAGCTCACCAACAAGGCCGTCGACCAGTACAAGTCAGTACAACTGTACCCAAACATTGCACTAGCTGCTTCCAGTAGGCGTTTACTAATAGTACCGGAGCGTTCTTTTTGAGATCCTGGGAGTTTCCATTCGCACCAAGATGGTTTTACTAAGTCAAGTCTCACAGACCTGTCTGTCCCAATCTAAAACTGAGTAGGTAACAGGGTATTTTTTAAAGATTCCTCACCCGATATCAAAATAATGGTTTTATAGGTCATTCTTATCTGGCCTAGACCAAGTACACTCAATAAATCACGTGCTTGTCACATATTCCTTAATACATATTTTGTTGTTGACTATTTTAGTAGCTACTATTAGCAATTTTAGCTATTTTACTATTTTGTATCCCTTATCGATAGACTATTTATCTAGGAGGGCTGACCTTAAGGGTTTATTTGTAGGGTAAAAGAGAATGTGTTGTGGTTATAATCATAAGGCTAAACTTAAATACGTATAGATAGGATCAATTGACAAAAAAACTGTAAGAAACTATTTGAAAAAAATAAAATTCCTGTTTTTCTAATGTAACCATATTGCAGATTATGTTAGAAGGCAATGTGTTACTTTCAAGAGTGCTGTTACAGATCTAACTGTAAAATTAAAATTGTCATTTTGTATAATTTACCAATCCAATTCAATTTGAACTAAATTATGTCGATTAACAAATGACATAATCAAAGTGTACTTGTTATCTCCATAGTAACGTGCGCATAGGTTGAGTAATGTAGGTCAATGATGTTTGATCGATAGCACGACACATGCCCTGCTAAGCTATATTAAATATTCACTCCGCCGTTTCTCGAATAGTCAAATACTCTACATTCCAAGTTGAGTAATCGATAACTATGCCATTTTAAATTACATAATACTTATTTAAATACTACATTTGTAGAAATTTGAATTGACATTAATAATAATGAATCGAATATTTGCTTTTATAAGTAGTATTAATGAATACAAGTGCTTTATTTATTGAATGCTGAAAAAGCGCGTATATCAACTACATTCAACACTTCTGAGTTTCATGAAATGTTAATTACAAGACCAATAAAGTCCTATTAGGTAGTTTTAAAAGCATGACATATTAAAACCATATAACCTATTTGCGGCTTGTAGTTATTATAGTTTATTCTACTTTTTTTTCTACTTATAGTCCATTTCTCGCGTGATGAGTTTTCACCCCTAAATTATTAAATGCCCTAAATTATTTAATTTAAGCATTAAAATATATAGGCTAAAGGGTGTCGGTAGGAGTATTTGTTAAAAAAGGAGTTTGTGAAAAATACTCTTCAGAACAAAACAGTGTGTTTACGAATTTTTATTTTAGTATCGATATATCTATACTAACATTATAAAGAGAAAAGATTTTTATTTTTATATATTTTGAAACTACTGGGCTGATTTCAAAAACTCTTTGACCAATAAGTAGCTACATCACTGAGTAACATAGACCGTATTTATTAAAAAAAATATTTTCGTGCAGACGAAGACGCGAGGAACAGCTAGTAATCAATAGAAATGTTAAAAATACGTTTGTTTTTAAGGTCCGGCGAGGCGAAGTACGCGCACCTGAGCGAGGCGGACATCC